AGCGATCCTTCCTCCTGCCTCATTCTCCCAAGTGCTGGGATTACAGGTGAGGGCACACCCGGCTGTCTTGGTGCTAATTTGAATTTTCATTTTCAGTACTGCTTGTTTTATGAAGTTGGGTGCATTAAACTTTGGTGCATATATATTTATAATTCTCATCTCTTCCTATTGAATTGTTCTTATAACTAATAAGTAGTGACATTCTCTGCCTCTTCTGATCAGTTTTAGCTTGAACTTTACTTTGTCTGAGAATAAAATTGCTACTATTGCTTGCTTTTGGGGTACTGATGTATGGAATATTGTTTTCCATTCTTTGATTTTTAGTCTATGATTCTCTTGAATGTAACAGACCATTGGGTTCTTTTTCTTTTGCTGCTCCTTTATTTTTCCCTTTTTAAAATTGAGTTTATTGGTACATTTTAGGTATACAGTACAGTTACATTCATTACTGGGATCTTGTACCTTCACATGACAGGTCTTGGTTCTCATTTTTTCCTCCTTGTCCCTACCCTCCCCCCCCCCGTTTTTCCGTTTTTATTTAACTATTTGTTTTGCTGGATGTATTCGTTGCATTTGACTTTTTGGCTTTGCCTCTTTCTAGGATTCTTGAGTATTGTTTGGAGAGCTGGTTTGGTGTTCATGAATTTCTTAAGATATTTTTGATATGAAATGTCCTTATTTCTCAATTTTGAATGACAGTTTTCCAGGAAGTCTGAGCTGAAAGTTTTTAGGGATTGAAGCAATTAACTGGCCTTTACATTTTGTGTTGAAGAGTCTGCTGTAATCCTAATAGGTTTACCTTTATAAGTGAGATTTTGCTTTTCTCTGAAAGATTTTAAGATGCTGTCTTTGTGTTGGACTTCTGTGATTTTGACTATGTGTCACAAGAGCTTTTTTTATTGTAGTTATTTGGTCGTCTATAAGCCTTTACCTGTATGTTGAGTTCTTTCCCCATGCTTGGAAAGTTTTCTACTAAGATTTCTGTAAAAAGATTTTTAAAAATTCTGTTTTTAAAAAAATTCCTCAATTTCTATCACCAATTACATTGTTATTTTCTTAGTGTCATCTAGTAGCTGTTGGATAAATTTTTCTTGCTCTCTTCTCATTTTTAACATGTTCTTGCCAGCTTAAACCAGCAGCGATACATGCATGGCTATCCCATTGGGTGGTTAGCTATTTAACATCAGATTATGGAATTAAAATCAGAGTCAGGTGGCAGCAAGACAGCCCCATAATGAATGTGTTAAGTTAATGAATGTGTATATCATTATGTGGTTCCATTTTGTCTTTGATTTGTGAGACGCTATCCTTACATTGGTTATTTCTACTACTTATGTATTCAATAGAATTTTATGTCTCCAGGGTTTCTGTTTGACACCTTGTCATGGAGTCTATTTCTTTGGCAAATTTGTCATTCATGCTTTGAGCAGTTTTTTGTTTCTTCTATAATTGTTAGTTATAGAACTTCGGTTATTTTGTTAGTTCCACTATCTTTTGAGTTATGTCATCTTTGAGCTTGTCAAGTTTCTTTGTTTCCTCATTAATGATATAGCTTAGCTATTTTGTTTTAATTTCCTTTCTTTGGATCTCCTTTTGGAGAGTTTGAAGTCTTTGAAGGCATTTTGTTCACGTGTGTGTGTGTGTGTGTGTGTGTGTGTGTGTGTACTCAGGTTTGAGGTCAAATAGTGTGAAAAGAATTTGTAGGCATGAAGATCTCTTTAGTTAGTTCTGTTGTCCAGTGATGTGTTCTTGCTTTTATTTGCCAAGAGATACTCTATACTACTTTAACTTATTCAATTTACTTGGATTGGACTCTGTCACTGTATTGTAAGGAGAGAATTTTTGCTGGTAATAACAGCACCAACACAACAGACACGAATCACAAGTTTTAAAACTTGTTTTTACAATTTTGTCCTTTTATCAGTGGCCCTTATAGTCTATACCAGTGGTGGCAAACCTATGGCACATGTGCTGCAACCAGATGTCTGTTATCCTTGAAAGCTCTAAAAGTTTTGTCATCACTGGTCTACACTACAATGTTTTTATCAGTCTGTGATGTAAGGGGAGAGGGGAAGGGAGATGAAAAGGGAAGAGGAGGGTGGTAAGTTAATAGAATAGGGAGATAAGAGGAATATTAATAGGTAAAAAATATGGAGGGTCAGACACTGTTGGAGATTTTTTAATGGTCAGAGTAAGAGTTAGTGTTGAGGGGGTTTAAGAGAATATTTGTGGGAGTGGGAGGAGAGATGCACAGGGAGGGAGGTTTCATTAGAGATTGAAAGAAGCTATGAGATTGTCAGAACCTGTTAATATATTTGTGGTTAGTTTTGTTTCAACCCTCTAAGCACAGTTCTATTAAAGGTTACCCTGAAATGACCATGTGTGGTACCATATAAGTTAAAGCACTGGTCTGTTCTTATTCTTTTTGCATTTGCACTTGAGATATCTCTCTCTCTCTGTCTCTCTCTCTCTCTCTCTCTCTGTCTCTCTCTCTCTCATCTATCTACATTACATGAAAGGTGGGAAAGAAGCAAGGGAAGGCTGGGTTGTAGGTAAAATAAGGACAAGTGAAGAAAATAGAAGGGGGGAAGGTTAAAATAAAGAAAAGGCCAACAGGGAACACAGAATAAAGGGAAAATTTTTTAAAGTAAGAAAAACATAAAAAATAATATTGATATAGAAGAAAGAATTGAAAAGGAAAAATCCCCAGAGAATTCAAAACAGATTCAGAAACAAGAATCTTCCTCCAAACTCCATATGGCTGCTGCACCATATAGTCAGTGTCCACATAATTCCCTTCCTGAGTTAGTTGTAGTCTGCTTGCGGACTGCTTAACTGCCTGTCCTGAGTGTTGAAGGCTCTCAGTCTTTCTGCATCTACCTCCGGGCTGGGTGAAATTAGCTGTAGCCCTCTTTCTCTGTTCCGAGATTTAATCACCTCAATTAATTTGGGAAGGGGCAGATGTGAAATAGTTTGCCTGACACCAGACTCTCCACTGACTTCTGCCAATGACGTATCACTCCCCGCCCTCCTGTGTGCAAATCTTCTGTGCTTCTTCATTCTCTCCCTGTACATCACCAGAATATCTCTGCCCCAGCTGATATCTTGTTGCTTTGTGCTCAGGTCCCAAATCACCCCTGATTCAAGAGCTCTACTTTGCAACCTACTGGACCTGGAGCAGACCCAGAGGGTCTTTATTCCTAGCATGAGATGGGGGTGGTGGTTAGGATCTGCTGCTGACTCAAATATTTTCAGTGTTTGGGGAAAGTGCCCAGTCTGGAATAATTGTGCTCAATCTTTTTCTTATCCCAGTGCTTGCAGGGATGTGATCTGTGGGTCTCTGTCAGGAGGCATGGTGCCACCCCAGTTTGCGGTGTTCAGCTTCTCTGCCGAGGGTGGGTACTTCTCTTGCCAATGCTGGTCAGTGAGCAATGAGTAGGATGCCACCAAGATGCAGTGTTCCCTGGTGTTTGGGAGGATGTTGGGGGGGATGCTGTTTCTGTGTTGCTAGCTCTCCTTTTCCTCTGTCCACTAGGAGCCTTCCCACTGTTTACTTGCATTTTTCTTTAAATATTCACTTTTGAATGATATAGCATTAAGTTATTGTTTCCTATTGGTGGTAAAACATTTCAGTTTCCAGCCATGGTGACACGTGCCTATAATCCCAGCACTCTGGGAGGCTCAGACATGATGGGAAGTCTGAGCCCAACCTAGACAATTTAGTGACTTAGCAAGACCCTCTCTCTCCCCCCCCAAAAAAAAAAAAAAAAAAAAAAAATCGTATACATGTGTGTATATGCAAGGGGGGAGAGGGGTGTAAGTCAGTGTGAAGGCCCTGAACTCAATCTCTAGTACTAAAAAGAAAAAAATCAAATTGACTATCAATATTGTGTAGTAAAATTGAAAGGGAAATCCTAAGATACCGATGTAACAAAATTACTAAAATACAATAGACAATACCAAGTACTGCTGAGCATATAGAAGAACTTTTCTTGTAATGAGAAACAAGCACAATAATCACTTTGGAAACAGACACTATCTACTAAAGCTAAACATATACCCACACTCTCTCTGATTTAAAAAAATCCAATATAGAAATAAAATACTGAAAACTAACTAGAAATATTAGATTTTTCAACCTTTTGACCAAATTAAATATCATGAAAATTTTATCTTCCTTGTAAATTTGAAAGAAATTGGTCCCAAGGCACTCTGGAAACAATGCCTTTATATTTAATCTTTGACAACCATTAGGGTCTCTGGTTGTCACTGCTTTGTTTACATGTCCCGTTTCATTTTGAATCAATTTTGGTGTCTCCGTTCCTTGAATATTATAAAAACTAGATTTTAAAAATGAGCAGAGATGGACATGTCCTCCGTATTACCTTGATTGGATTATCTTTTTTGATGTTTTCAGACAGGGCCTCACTATGTAGTCCAGGCTGGCTTCAAACTCTTGCCTCAACTTCCCGCGTGCTAGGATTACAGGCAGATGTCACCACACCCAGCAGATTATCTATTCTTAAAAGTTTCCAGAGGTGTTTATTTTTCTTGTTTCTATTTTAGCCACTCATTCCTTTAATTAGTTTGGTCTTTTTCTGCCCTGAAGTTTTTGAGATACTCACCATTTTTCTTCGAACCTGCATTCTAGTTAGACAAACATTTTTTAGTCCCTTTTATGAAAAAAAAAAATCACTTAGAAACTCTCACGGGAGATAGTTTTAAAATCTCCAGTAAATTTTAAGTTCAATTTAAAAATTTTAGTTCACTTTTAGGCACCTGTCAGCGAATCATTTTTGCTCATTTGTTTACCTTGGTTTAATTTTATCGATCTGAACTCCTATTTTTAGGGATTTTAGTCTGTTCTGGTTCTGGACGGCACCACCTCACAAACAGTGGGCCGTCTGACAAAGCCCAAGCCAAGCTGAAGGGTCCTCGCAGTCCCCGCGGCGGCCGTGCCCTTTCTTCCGCTCTCCGTCGCGCGAGATTGGGAACCGGAAGTCGTCTTCAGGGCCGGGCCTCTCCGTGCGGCGGCTGTTCTGTTGATGTTGGCGGGAGCAGATCAGGCAGTCCAGAGTTCCTCGCAGTTGGGCCTGTGCTGCCCAGAGTCTCGGGAGGGGCCGGCAAAATGCGTGTGGCGGTGGCCGGCTGCTGCCACGGAGAGCTGGACAAGATCTACGAGACGCTGGCGCTGGCGGAGCGGCGTGGCGCAGGCCCGGTGGACCTTCTCCTGTGCTGCGGCGACTTCCAGGCTGTGCGCAATGAGGCCGATCTGCGCTGCATGGCCGTGCCGCCCAAGTACCGCCACATGCAGACTTTCTACAGGTGAGCGGCGTCGCTGGGCCTCGGACCCGGCCGAGCTAGATGTGACAAGCCAACCTGGGGCAGAGATGCTGTCGGGGATAAGGATCCCGTGCTGTCACTGTTTCACTTAGTTCCCTACTTTGTTCACTCTCTTTCTAGGACCTGACTAAGGAAATGTCACTTTCGTTCTTTCTATACACTGTTGTATTTCGCAGGGATCGCAGCCAGGGGCGATAACCTGGAGGAAGAAAGTGACAGGTTTAGATAATCTATCTACCTAGATAGGACTCTAAAATTGGTTCATTTTAATAATCCAGGAGTTTTTACTGGGCTCTAGTTGTGTACTAGTTCCTGTTCTAGAAGCTGAGGTAAACGCTCTGAAGTCGACAAGTTATTGACCTCGTTGGACGAACATTGACTTGAGACCCAAGGTTTCATTCTTATTCTTAAAGATAAGGATGGATAATGGGGTCTCCTAGAAAGAGCTTTTTCTGCACTTGATCTTAGCCAAATGGCTGAGAAGCGATAGAGATTTTTCTAAAGCTTATATAATTTTTAACTAGCTTTTTCCTTAGGACCTTAGTTTGATTTTCTAACGTGCCCAATTTGGTAACCAACAACTGTACTCTTATGTTCTAGGTACTACTCTGGAGAGAAAAAGGCCCCTGTTCTCACAGTCTTCATCGGAGGCAACCATGAGGCCTCAAATCATTTGCAAGAGTTACCTTATGGTGGCTGGGTAGCACCAAACATTTACTATTTAGGTATGTGTTGGTGTATAATTTTTGAGTTTGATGGAGAGAAGAGGATTTATGTTAGGTCAGCAGTATCATTAGATGTATAGTGTTTAGAGATTGTTATTAATTTTAATAACCATGAAGTTTAGTTAAAATAGTTATTAAAGAGTTAATCATGAAGATCTGTCCTTGCTTAATCTAATTTTTTTTCTGTTTTGGTACCAGGGATCAAACTCAGGACCTTGTACTTGCAAGGCAGGCGTGGTGCCACTGAGCTAAATCCCTGGCCCTTCATCTAATGTTTTAAGTAATGGTTAGTATGACTGCAAAGGCCTTACACACTATTTGTAGTTCTTTTATTTTTTCATACTTTTCTTACAGAATTAAAATGTCAAACTTTTTATAACAGAAATTGTTAAATATAACCCAAAAGGGAGACTAGTATAATAAATCTATACCTATTAAATCAGCTTCAGTGACTATTAAAGTCCTGTTATCCTTGTTTTCAGCCTACATTCCTCTAAATTTTTTTGTGGGAGATGACTAGAGTATTATAGCAAATCCCAGCCATTAGATTATTTCATCTGTTAATATTAAGAATATAGTTTGACGTGATAACAGAATTTTTTTTTTTTTAAACTGGTGATTAAATTGGGGACCTTGTGCTTGCAAGGCAGGCGATGGCACCACTGAGCTAAATCCCAGGCCAGATAACAGAATTTTTAAAATACCATAATGTACCATTATACCTAATTGAAATAACAATACAGTAATTCCTTGTTACCTGTTGCCTCATTCATGCTCATCTGAAAGGTGTGTGTTTACAATTGGTTTGTTGAAATAGGATCCAAGCAAGAGCCACAGATTTCATTTGGTTTTCAGGACCTTGAAGTTTTAGACTATAATGGCCTGCTTCTCCCTCTATATCTGTCTCTCTGTGTCTCTCTACCATTCCCCTCTACCTATCCCCCCCTTTTTTTTACTGTATTTATTGAAGAAAATGGGAAAATTATTCTGTAGCATTCTTGATTTAACTGATTTGAATGCTTGGGTGTCATTTTAAAATGTTGCTTTACTCTCGTCATTTCCTACAATCTGTATTTAGATTTATAAACATGATTAGGGGTTCAGTTTCATTTTAGTCCCTTATTTTCTAGATCATTTTCTGAATTATGATTTTTCCTATGATGAAATTATAACTTCAGTAATATAGCATCTTCATTACTGATTGATATATCTTGACAACCACGATGTTGTGAAAAGATGAAATTGTTAGGTGATCAATCAGAAATGAAAGGTAGGCTTCTTTTACCTTATACCTGTTGATCTGTAGTTTATAATGTGTAAATCCATCATAGGACAGTCTCTTCTCCCCCACCCCCATGTTCATTTAGGTATCACATTATATCTATATCCCTTTTAGCACCCTACCTCATTTATCCCTTCCAGAATTGACTTACTTTTCTTGTCTGATCTGCTTCCAGGCCTTTTCTCTCTAGTTTTGTATATTACCATGTATATTTTTGACATTAACTATTGGGAAAGAGTAACCTCATCATGATACTTATTATCAAATAATTTTAGGACTACATGGAATTCCAAGCCTTTAAATGGTTTATTCTGTACTAAGTTGTTTTTGTCTATAGTAATTTTATTCAGTTATATACTTTTTCAGGTTTGGCTGGTGTAGTAAAATACCGAGGTGTAAGGATTGGTGGAATTTCTGGTATCTTTAAGTCTCATGACTATCGAAAAGGTATTGTTGCTTTTTGGAATTTTTAAGTCTTAGAAATTGCATAGCTTCTAAAAATAGCATAAGCATGATATTTAGCTTGACATATTCATTGGATTTATTCTGTGAATATTTTTATTTTCATTATAAAATATTTTATATGTACGAAAATATAGGCAGTGCTATATGACATGTCTCTTTGTCCACCATTTCGTTTTATCAAGTCTGGGGTTTATCATTTTTTAATTCTAATTTTTTTTCTGGCACCTGAGATTGAACTCAGGACCTTGTGCTTGCAAGGCAGGTACAGCACCTCTGAGCTAAATCCTCAGCTGTTTAATTTTAATTTTTAAGAAATAAAACAGTACAGGTACAATTCATGTTCATTGTTTACCTATCCTTCCTCTCCTGTCTCGCTTCCCTCTCCTTGTCAGTCAGTTGCTGGTCTCAATTTGATGTTTATCATTCACTTGATTAGTTTGTATCATTACCACACTTATATGAGAGCTATAAGCAATGCATTTTATAGCTTGTTTTAAACTTTGAGTAAATGTATCTCCTTGTATCTTTGGCAACTTGCCTTTTTGTTTCATGTGTTTTTGAAATCCATATTGATACATTTAATTCTAATCTGCCCACTTTTGACTAATATGTAAGTATAGCACAATGTGCTCTTTATTTCACTGTATCTGAATGGATTATTCCTTGATTTTTATTTTTTTATTTTTTTTGTTTTTTTGAGGCAGAGTCTTGCTATAGTTCAGGCTGGCCTTATATTCACGTAGCTCAAACTGGCCTTAAACCTGTGGCAATCCTCCTGCGTCAGCCTCCAGAGTGTTGGGATTATAGGTGTGTGCTACCACACTCCTGGATTTTTTTTTTTTTAAGGTAGAGGAAAAGCTCAGATTTGTATTGATTTTACAAATTAAATTGACAAAACTTTCATCTTTAATGTAACTGACAACAGGTCTGTCTCTTTTTTTCTCTGTGATTCTAATCTGTTGGCATGGATGAATTGGAATCGCTCTTGGAAAGACAATTGGTAATATAGCTTGTTTCTCTTTAATTTAAGGCCATTTTGAATGTCCTCCTTATAATTCATCTACAATAAGGAGTATATATCATGTGAGAAATATTGAAGTTTATAAATTAAAACAGGTATGTAAAAAGTATATTATAGCCAACTTCAAGAAAATTTAAAAATAATACTGTACTAAAATGTTTTGATCATAATGGTTTACTACTTCTCAGAACAGCATTTAGTGTTTCTAAAATTTGAATTGTGAATTGCTTTTAGGAGGCTTACAGATTTTTTCATTTTTTAATAGTTAAGAGTTTGTTTTTTAATGGTTAAGAATTGTGAAACATTTAATTCATGATTTCATATATTGAGGAAAATATTAAAGTAAATATTTTTTATGGTGGTAAATAAATAATATTTAATGATGTATTAAATAATGAAAATAATAAGAAAGATGTAGAGGATATGGGAAAATTGTGAAGATGGTGTTGAAACACTAGTTTACTTGGAGAGTTGATAAAACTAGGTTTTTTTGTTGTTTTGAGGACCTCCTACAAGACTGATAGTTGTAATTTCCACACACTGTATTTTGTGTAATCTTTAGTCAAATCCTATGAGGTAGGTCTTACTCTTAACTTCCTAACTAAAGGATAAGAAACCAAGGCTCAGGCAAGTAAACTTGTCCAAGGCCTCCCATGTGATTTAAGGCTAGTGCCTGGCTGACTGTCTGTGGCCTGTTTGCACCATCTCTACAGCTTCCAGAGGGCCTTTCTTTTATGTGCTATTCATATAGTTCCCTTCGATGGTTTTCCCGTTTACCTATCTAAATATTACCAGGCGCTTAAGACCCAATTTAGATACCACTTTCCAACCACAACTTTTCTAGTTTAGAGTTATCACCTGTCTCTAAATTTTTATTACACCTGTTGTCCAATATGTTATTTAGTGGTTAGCCATATCTGTCTTATGTTTTGTATTTTCTTGAATTGTTATTTAAGTTTTAGTTTTCTAAGTATTTGCTTCAGATTACTTGACGTGCTATATGGCATAAATTTTGTGACCTCTTCATGAAGACAGCAGCGACTTCAACTATTTATGTTCAAGTATTAGACAGAGTTTTTAATATATATTATGTGAATCCTTTTTTTTTTTTTTTTGGTAGTTCTGATTGAACCCTGGGTCTTGCACATGGTAGACAAGCACTCTTATCACTGGGCTACATTTCCATCCCTCTAATATTTGTTTCTGTTAAATCTTTGGACTTAGTGTATTATTTGCATTAGGGGTCTTATGAAATCTGATGTCTCTGAATCTTCAAAACAGTAATTTCTTTTTTGTTGTTTGCTTTTTTTTTTTTTGGTACAGGGACCTTGCTCTTGTGAGGTAGACAGTGGAACCACTGAGCTAAATCTCTAGCCCCAAAATAGTAATTTCTTTACCAAGGCAAAAAGACTCATGCTGATTATGTAGTTTAGAAATCTAGGGCTACAGATTTACTGATTGACAGTCTAATCAAAGTATGTCTTTGTTGCTCTGCCTGGCCACTGAAAATAGAGTGATTTCTAAGGCAGAGAAAAAGATGCTTCTCTTTGCCCAGCAGAATGTGTAGCCTACTTTTTTTTAATGACTTTCTTAAAGTGTCATTAGAATGAATTACACAGAAATCTAGTTGTCTTAAGTGAATGCATAATTGGTTGGTAGTAGAGAGGGAGGGGATTGTTTTGTAAGAGTTTTTAATATGTTTTTAGGAGTTTTCTTTTTGTTCTTTTCTGTTTTTAAAGCTAAAGCAACCTATAGATATATTTTTATCTCATGATTGGCCAAGAAGCATATATCATTATGGAAATAAGAAACAACTTCTTAAGACCAAATCTTTTTTCCGACATGAAGTGGAAAATAACACGTTGGGAAGTCCTGCAGCCTCAGAACTTTTAGAGCACCTAAAACCTACTTACTGGTTTTCTGCACACCTTCATGTGAAATTTGCAGCCTTGATGCAGCACCAGGTAGAAAAAAAAAATTTTTTTTTTTTTTCCTTTAACAAACACTGAACAGGTATGAGCTAGGCACTATTGGCATAGTTGTAAAATTAGAGAAAGAAGCCGGGTGTGGTGGCGCATGCCTGTAATCCCAGCACTCGGGAGGCTGAGGCAGAAGGATCGCTGTGAGTTCAAGACCAGCCTGGGCTACATAGTGTGTACCAAGTCAGTGTCAACTACATAGTGAGACCCTGTCTCAAAAACAAAAAAATTAGAGAATGAATGTAACTTATCTCTTGGGGTTAACTTAGTACTCAATATGGGGAAGAGACAAATAAGCAATTACAAAACAGTATAAAGTTGGTACAAAGTGCTCAGATGTGTGAGAGCATCTAAGCCTTGTGGTAGAATGGGAATAGGCTGAGTTGAGTCTTGAATTGCCAGGAAGAAATAGATTCTGAGGGTATTTTAATAAAAGGTACTAACTTATGCAAAAGCTGAAGGCCTGAGAGTATAGTGTACTTGAGAAAGTGTAGCTAGTTTATGTGGCTGGGAGTGTAGCTCAGTGCAAAGACATTGGGTTCAGTCTTCAGTACTACAAAAGGGAGAAAAATACTGAGTTAACAAAGTTAGAGATTTTTCTTTTCCTTGAGATTTTTTTGTTTTGTTTTTTGTTCTAGTACTGGAGATGAAACCAAGGCCTTCACACAGAGCAACATCCCCAGCTGTCTGTCTGTCTATTTAAATTTTAAAAGATTGTACTAGGTTGTACAGGCTGATCTCAAAATTTTTATCCTGTTGCCTCAGCTTCCCAGAGTGCTGGAATTATAGGCATATCCCACCAGGCCCAGCTTTCTGAGTCTTTAACGCATTAATGGGTACTGCCTTTTTCAAGAGTATAGTGCTTGCTTCCCAAAGTTTACTTGACCAGATACTTTGCCACATTGGAGGTATACTTTAACAATTTTTCTCATAATTTTGTCTGAAAATTTTCCTAATGCTCTCATTGTATACTCTTCTAATTCCCTAGTTTTACAGGGAAGAGGGCAGAGGTTACTCCTTTCTTTTGGGTCTGTGCCACTCAGTGATCACACTCATTTTAAGTCCAAGTTACTTGATTATATCAGTCACCTTCTCCATATAATGCTATTCCTACCTACCTCTTAGGGCTCATGGCATGCTCAGATTTTTATTGAAGCATCTGATTTACTACTTTTTCCTCTACTCATCTTCTCTTGCCAATCTCAGGGTATGCATGTCTGCATTAATGATGTGTCTCATCCTTTCTATTGGTTCCTCAACCTCTTCTGTCTTTGCCAGTATTCTGTTTTCAGCCACTTCAACAATATCTGTGCTTTTTACCTTCCTCAGCACCTAACCAGAACAGCATTGATACTTGGCCCTCAGTAGGATGTATCATAGCTTGTTTGCTTCTCTTTTTTCTTCGTGCTGTTTTCAATGAGTCACTTTTTTTCCTTTGGCAGTGCTAAGTATTGAACCTAGGGCCTCATGCATGTTAGGCAAGTGCTCTGTCTACAGTTCCCACTGAGTTACTTTTGTGCTGCTTTTAGTATGACCGTCATGTGTGTGCTTTCTCCTCTCTACTTCTTTCCAATTCTTTTGAAAAAATACTTTTATTGGAGTATAATATGTACACCATAAAATGAAAATGTTTTGTATGTATAATTTAGTGATTTTTAGTAAATTTTCAAAGTTGTGCATATATCACACCATCCAGTATTGGAATATGTCCATTATCCCAAAAGAACCTTTGTACCTGTTTATAGTCAGTCCTTTTCCCACCCTCAGCCCTAGACAACCACTGATTGGCGCCTCTAGATTTGTCTATTTAATTCATATAAATGAAATTATGTATAGTGTTTTTCATCTAGTTTCTTTCATTTTCTAGTTTTAAACAGTCATTCATATTGTAGCATATTCTGTATTTCATTCCTTTTTAGTGCCCAGTAATAACAATCATTCCTTTGAAACACAATTTAGGGCCTGTATAATTAAGGTTGTTTCTTTCCTATTCTATGCATGAATTACCTGTGATGTTTTAACATTTTTCTTAAGTCACGTTTTGTATTGTCTAGGCCATGGATAAAGGGCAGACATCCAAAGCAACCAAATTTTTAGCCTTGGACAAATGTTTACCACATAGAGACTTTCTTCAGGTAAAAAGAAAATAAAGTAATTTTATAATATAATTTTATTTTTCCAGTGATTTAAAAAGTCTTTTAAATTTTCCTTTGAGAATTTATGCTCTTTGCAATTTTTGTATTCTGAGAATTCTTTAAGATATTTAAGTTACGTTGATGTATTTAAAGTTAAATTTCTTCACTTTAAATTATTTAAATTAAGTTTAAATTCTTTTTACATTTTACTAAGTTATCTTAAAATTCTTAGATTCTTAAAAATATATATATATGTTACCTGAAATTGGTTTCTTCATATAGGTTTTAGAAATAGAGCATGACCCCAGTGCTCCTGATTACTTAGAATATGATATTGAGTGGCTCACTATTCTCAGCAATACTAATGATCTTGTTAATGTGACTGGGAACCTTTGGAATATGCCTGAAAATAATGGCCTGCACACAAGGTAAGTCTGATTTTTTTAGAATGTGCCTTCTCTGATGCATGACAATTTTGTCTTTCCTGTCTTTTGTGTTCTGTTTTGGTGTTCCTACAGACTTCGGTTTGTACGAAAGAGGAAGAGCTAGAGTGACCACATTCCTTGGGATCTTGGCACTGGGAAAACCTCTTACCAAGTGCCTACCTAATGACCTGATACATCCAGTCAGGCAAAGCAGTTGCCTAGAGTTTGCAGCTTGGTGATGACTGGGGGACACGCTGACTGCAGCCTCTTGGCCTAGCAGGCACTGGCTGTGAAGCCTCAACTTTGTTTTTATTTAAGGGGTTATTTTTTAGTGTCAGAACAGTTTAAGGTTGACTGATTATTACAATAAAAAAAAACTACAAGTTTTCCATCCAAGAGAGAGAAAGGCACTGTTGAGCATCAACTCATATAAGTTTGGAAGTGAATAAATGTCCAAAAAACTATTGAAGATTTGGTTCCCACATTAAAATAATGATACTTGTTTTGAGGTAAGCATTAAAGATATTTTCCTAAGAGTTGTTTTTTGTTGCTAAGTGGTCCTTTGCTAAATTAACTAATTTTAATGTATATCATTTTAATACGTGATTTCTTTTTATCCTTGCACCTGGAGTGTGTGATTTTTGAGGCTGATAAAATGTAACAGTTGTTTACTTTTATAGGTGGGATTATAGTGCAACAGAAGAATCTATGAAGGAAGTATTGGAAAAATTGAATAATGACCTCAGAGTTCCATGTAATTTTAGTGTAACAGCTGCTTGCTATGACCCTAGTAAGCCTCAGACACAGGTGCAGCTGGTCCATAGGATCAATCCTCAGACTACTGAATTTTGTGCTCTACTTGGTATCACAGACATTAATGTCAGGCTTCAGATGGCCAAACAAGAACATCATTTGCACCATGAATATGAAGAACAGGATGATGTGGAGAGTAATGACTCTGGAGAAGAACAAAGTGAATATAACACAGACACTTCTGCCTTGTCCTCTATTAATCCAGATGAAATAATGTTAGACGAAGAAGAGGAAGCTGAAGATGACATTGTATACAGTGATGTGAATACACCATCTGTAGAACCTTTATCCCATCAAGCTTCTGACTTTTCTGCAAGCTTCTCTGATGTCAGGATCTTGCCAGGTTCCATGATTGTATCTTTTGATGATACATCAGGTTTGTCAACTGGTACAGAAGAGAAAGCTGATGAGGCTGTGGAGTTGGGGGATGGAAAGGACTTAACTGAAGTGCCGTCCAAGAGGCTGAGCGAGGAACATGAACCTGAGCAAAGAAAGAAGATTAAGAGGAGGAATCAAGCCATCTATGCTGCAGTAGATGATGATAATGATGCAGCATAGGAGCGTTTACTTATTGTGGTATTACAGGGTGTATGTGATTTTCAAGACCCTATTTTTAGAATTAGATTTGATTCAAGATTTAACTTTGTAATAATCAAGTGGCAAGACCATTTTAGTTAGATACTTTGTCTTAGGCCTTTTGTATGTTTCAGGTATAAACATTAAAATTTTATATATTTACTTCATTGACTACCTTTTTTTGAAGACATCATTCACTTCCAGTTTTTCAGCAAACACTTATTGCACATGTACTTTGTGCTGAGCACTTTTCTCTAAATGGGACTATAAAAATGAATAAGACAGGGATTTTTGTCTTCAAAGAGTTTACTGTAAATGTTTTGTTGTATAAAATATGGCATATTTATATTTTGCTTTACAAAGTTAAGTCACTGTTGTATATACCCCTGTGTATGCTCTGTTTTCATTTATTATACTTTTTCCTCCTGGTCAGCTTTTAATGTCTATCAAATATAAATTGAAATTGAAGATGGTAGACAAGATTTTAGGAAATAAATTTCTGTAAGTACTAAACAGTGGTAAACATGAAATCTTACACTTAATAGCTGAAAATATAATCATTGACTCTTGTATATTTTTGTTTTAATTTTTATTTAACTATTATATATTATTTATATTATTTATATAGAGGTCATTTTTGGCACAATTAAGATTAGTATTTGCCAACGAGGACTTAGTTACATAAATGCTGTGCTTCACATTGCATATGTTAAACTAGTTTTGGGGCCGGGGATTTAGCTCAGTGGTTCCACCACCTGCCTTGCAAATGCAAGGCCTTGCTCGAGTTCAATCCCTGGAACCAAAATAAAAGCCCCCACATAAAAAAATTCTTAGATTCTTAAAATGGCAAAAACTAGTTTTGAAGATCCATATGGCAAAACCACATCTCTGTTGTTTCTGATTAAAATGCCTGGGCCACTTGAGAAGCCTGTTGCCCTGGACTCTGGCTAGGAATAATGGAACCAAAAATTTTTCCAGTGTTGTTGGGCATGGCACCTAAAATCCCAGCATTCAGGCAGCTGGGGTAGGAGAATTACTGTTGAGTTCAAGGCCAGCCTGAACTACATGGTGAGACACTATCTCATAAAAATAAAACCAAAAATTCTAGTGTCTTATCATGATCCTACAGTCCAAATAGTGGAGCTAATTCAAGAGAATAATTAGTGTTTGGCTTCCATTTGGTTAGCATTTGACTTGATAAAGGTCAAGGACAGTAATGGAAAACCTGGAGTTTTCAGTGGTACAAACAGCCTGCTGTGGCACGCATGCCATAGGTTCACTACCCCTGGCCTAGGACTTTGGGGCTTTTATCTTGTTTCATTTTCTTTTGAGTTGAATATTTATTTTAATTCTTGTGTACATACAGTATTTAAAGCTCTGAATTTCTCCCAATCACTGATTTAATTGAATCCTATAATTCTGATATGTAGTGTAATTTTTTCCAGAAAAAATTAATGGTAAAAGTGCACATAAAATTCATCAATATGCATAAGGCACTGAGAGTAATAGATCTTCCTTCAGAAATTCTTAAAAGCAGGGCTAGGGATTTAACTCAGAGGTTCTACCACCTGCTTTGCAAGTGCAAGGACCTGAGTTTGATCCCTGGTACAAAAAAACCCCAAAAAACAAAGAACACCAAATGTTAGAATTAATAAATGTTCTCAAAAAACAATAACAAACTTGGGCCAGGGATTTAGCTCAATGGTTCCAGTGCCTGCCTCATAAGCACAAGGGCCCAAGTTCGAACCCTGGTACAAAAAACAAAACAAAAAAAAAAACCCAGCAAGTGACAGGGACGGGCAGAGGATTGGCCGAGGGCTTCAGGATAGAGAATTCTTTTGGCAAATAAAAAACGAGTGAGGATGCCAGTAATTGAACTCTTAAGAGCCTTTCTCTTTTATTACAGAAAAACAGGGATCTGAAAGGAATAACGGATATGCTACTTTTTTTTTGTTTGTTTGTTTGTTTGTTTTTTTTGTTCCAGGGATCAAACTTGGCTCCCTGTGCTTGTGAGGTGGGCGGCAGCACCGCTGAGCTAAATCCCTGGTAGCTTGGTATAAATTTGATAAGGGATGTTTAATTTTCTTGGAAAACAAGTACTGATGTTCAGTGGTAGAAACGGAGAGTTAAATTTTCATAGAAATAGAGAAAACTATCAACCACATTAAAAAAGTATTAAAATGATTTCAGAGGGAATCTGCTGAGCTTTCTAAAGGCCAGACAATCCTAATGTTATGTAAACTGTTTCAGAGTACATAAAATGATGGCAGTTTAAAGTTTCTTTTTGTTAATTGTAGCATTGATGCCAAATTGAAAAAGATACAAAAAAGAAACCACAAATCGGTCTCATCCATGAATATTGATGCAAAAGTCTTAGCAAATTCATAGCACATTTTAAGATGATTTGCATGAACGAGTTCTGTTAGGAAGTGTGTTGATATGGACATATCAACAGATCTAAGGATAAATATAATGATCTCAATGAATAGTGAAAACACAACTGAGTACTGAGGATTCTGTTAAAAAATAACTAACAAAATCTATTGTCTTGCTTAAGAAAATATTAAGTGTTTCTGTCAAGCCAACTAAAAATGTAATGCTACCTACTACCTTCATTATATTTAACATTTGTCTCGGAAAGAACAAAATCAGGCAATACAATGAGGGGACTCAGAATTGCAAAGGAAGAGACATCTACAGATAATGTAAATTTAGGTGAAAAAAAATTGAAAGCTAAACCAATATAAATAATACTATTCCTCAGGAAAGTAGTAAGATACAAAATTGATGTACAAATCAGTATTCACAAAATTACAAATAATATAAATAACGAAAAGCAACTTAAATGTGCCAAAGCTATAGAGAGGAAAATCTTTAAAATACAGCTGAAAACTACAGAAAGACAAAACAGTGTCTTTTATTCTTGGATAGATTCAACTTTTTTTTTATTAGTACATGTTGGTAATACATAATGTTTACATTCCTTGTGGGAGTTGGTACAGATACCTTTCCCTCCCCTTTCCATCCATCTCTTGAATCCCTTTTTCTTAGTACATATTTGCAGTGCTTAATGTTTATATTCCTTGTGGGGAGATGGTACACGTATATGACACATCTTAATTCATTTTTTCATCCCTTTTTTCCCCTTCCCTCCATCTCTTGATCCTTTCCTCTTTGAGAGAGATTTATCTCCCTAGTTCCTATTATCTACCTTTTGTTTTGTTCTTTATACTTTGGGTTTCTCACATAGGATAAATCACATTATTTAAACTATGTGTCTGATTTATTTCCACTTAATATTATGATCTAAAGGCACATCCATTTTGCTATAAATGACCAATTTTTCTTTATGGCAGAATAGTATTCCATTGTGTTAGTACCACATTTTCTTTACCCATTCACTTATTGATGGACATATAGACTGTTTCTAAGATTTAGCTATTATGAATAGAGCTGTTATACACCTAGGTATGTATCACTGATATGTCTAACTTTTCGGCAAGATACCTAGGAGGGGAATAGGGGAATAGCATGGTCAAATGGAATTTTTAGTTTCAGTTTTCTTGAGGAATCTCTGTACTGATTTCCATAGTGTTTGTAATTGTTTACCACTAACCAGTGTAGAAGTGTCCCCCATCCCACCTCGCCAGCTTTTGTTACAGATTTGATGATGGCCATTCTTTCTAGGGTAAGATGAAATCTCAGTGTGATTTTTATTTGCATTTTTCTAATGGCCAGGGATGCTGAACATTTCTTTATGTATTATTGGCCATTTGTATAGGTATGAATTGTCTCTTCATTTCACTTGCCCATTTTTTAATTGGGTCTTTTAATTTGGGGAGTTTCCAATCTTTTTTGAGTTATTTATATATTCTGGCTATTAGTCCTTTGAGTAGCTGGCAAAACATTTTTCCCCTTCTGTAGCTTGTCTCTTGATTCTGTTGGTTGTTTCCTTTGCTGTACAGAAACTATAATTTGATATGATCCCATTTGTTGATTATTAATACTATTTTTTGTACAACTGGGGTTCTACTCAGAAAATCCTTGCCCATGCTTATGACTTAAAGATCAACATTTTATTTTAAAATTCTATTTCTTTTATTTCTGTATTTCATTTCACTTCATTGAAGGTTGAACCCAGGACCTTCATACTGCACTACATCTCAAGTTCCTTTTTGGGTGTGTGTGTGTGGGGAGGGACCAGGGATCGAACTCAGGTCCTTGCACTTCCAAGGCAGGCACCAGAACCACTGAACTAAATCCCTGGCCCTCAATCCCCTTTATAAATTTTTTATTTTGAGACAGGATCTCACTAGGTTGCCCAGGCTGGACTTAAACTTGCAATTCTCCTTCCTAAGCCTCCCAGAGTGCTTAGAATATAGGTGTGTACCACCACACCCCTTGGTCAACCTTTTAACGATTTTGATTCTTCCCAAATTAATACATTAACAATTTCAATAAAAATTTTATTTATTTATTTATTTATTTATTTATTTATTTATTTATTTATTTATTTATTTTTGCTTTTCTGGAGCTAAACAGATTGATTATTGTGTTCATAATGGAAAATTGGAAGAGACAGGAAAATCCCCCAGAAAAGCAATGGAAGTATACTGGCTATATCAGAGATCAAAGGATACTTACTATAAAGCCTTCATTATTAAAGCAAGATAATGTTGGTTAGCAGATGCATGGACAGTCATTGGAACTGAAAAGCTCCATATTCATTTGGGAAAAAAGAAACATTGATTTATGCTTTGTATACCAAAAGCCCAGTTAGAGATCTAAGTGTAAAGGATGAAATACCAGATGAAAATTTGGGTAAATTTCCTTACAACCTGGATCTGAGCAAAACTTTTAAAATCCAAGCACAGTAGAAGACCAATAAATTTTAATTATGTAACAACAACAACAACAATGATGATGATGATAGCTTTTGCATAGCAAATGCACTGTAAACAAAGTTAAGTGATTGCAACTCCTGTTACAAACAAAAGGTTTATATACATTGTAAAATATAAACTATATACACCTAATCCCATTTCTAGGAATTGGTCCTAAAGGTACATCCCCTCGATTAGAACGCAGGCACAAAATTTATTTATTGTTACATTTTCGTAATAGCAAAAGATTGGAAATAAGTGTTCAGCAGGAGAGGATTGATTAGACAAATACCCAATGGAGTAATACAAAGCTTCAAAAGAAATGGAATAGAGGCAGGGTATTTAGCTCAGTGGCAGCATGTCTGCCTTACAAGCCCAAGGTCATAAGTTTGATTCCCCGATACAAAAAAAAAGAAAAACTTTTACTAAAATGTTCATAGCAGCATTGTTTATGTTAGCCAAAAAATAGAAACAAATGTCTATCAACAATGAACTGATGGGTATAATATAGCATCATCATACAATAGAATGTTATTCATCATTAAAAAGGAATGAAAAGGGCTGGGGGATTTAGCTTAGTGGTTGCCTGCCTTGCAAGCCCAAGGACCCAA